AAAAAATTCCATGTTTCTCAGGCAAAAAAAAAAAAGTCTGAAGATTTTATGCTGTTTGGAAGTAATTTATTTATATTTACTACTCGATGACTATCTGTTAGCAAGGTTTATTGTTTTAAATAGACTGTTACTGGGTTTATGCTCCAAACACAATCATTGTTCCTGGAAAGCTTCAGCACCTGGAAGAGCGACCTCCGGACTAATCAGTTCCATTTACTTTGCTTTGCTTTGCTGTGAGATTTTTCAGGGTTAGAGACTTTTTAAGGTATTTGATGTTTAAAAAACCTGACCCACTGGGTAGATCTGCAGGTGTGTTAAAGTCAGGGCACAGTGAGAGGCCTAATTACATACACCCTTTGGGAAGTAGCTTAAGAAGTTACTTTGGATTGGTGATGCATGCTCTCTTACATCTGTGAAAGCCCTGGTTCACATGTGAGCATTGCACTACTTACGTATGCCAAAAGTGCTAGTGCTTTCTTTTCATTCATGTAAACTGTAGAGCTTTTTAATCTTGGATAGGGACCTTGTCACACACTTAAAATAGGAGCTGTTCCAGGGCCACGGAAATAAGTAATTCAAACTGGAAATGTTTTAAAGTTTTCACTTTTCTTCTTTTCTCTTCTTTTCTTTTCCTTCTTTCTTTAAGATTTATTTATTTATTTTATATATATGAGTACACTCTCTTCAGACACACCAGAAGAGGGCATTGGATTCTATTACAGATGGTTGCGAGCCACCATGTAGTAGTTACTGGGAATTGAACTCAGGACCTCTGCGAAAGTAGTCTGCACTCTTAACTCCTGAGCCATCTCTCCAGCCTTTCACTTATTTTCAAAATAAAAACATATGCCTATCACATGTTAGCATAGGCTTTTATGAAATGTAACTACTTTTCAAAATAAAGTCTAGCGTATATTTGTTCATTGTGTTACTTGGCATGATGGAGCACAACTGGATTTTTGTGCCTCTTTTGGTCTGTAGTCAGTTGATTGGCATGCAAGACATCAAGAAAGCCTGCTTCATGTGGGTAGCTCTCTGAAAAGGAGAGCACCCCTCCCCCAGGCCCTCTGAGGGTTCTTGCTCCTGGGAACCCGCTGTTTTGCTATTTGTAGACTACTTTGATTGGGTGGTGCTAATGCAAGTCTTTTGTTGTTTTTAGTATTTTGCATTTCATTCACTTTGTAGTAGTTTGTTTTATCCCCCTAATGACACATGTGTTTGGCAGCTTTTTTTCTCCCCAGGAATAAAGACATAGGTCCAGTTTTACTCATTTTAAAATCATTACCCAATGTCTTAGGGTCAGCAGTTAATCTAGAGATTGGAATTTTTGCTTGTTTGCTGAAATGGAAGACCTGGTCCCCGTGAGCCTTCTGTGGAGTGTTCTTTAGGATGAGACCATAACTGTGACACTCTGGTGCTCTGGAGTTACAGCGATTGAGTACAGTGCTCCCGGGAGGGAGGGAGGGAGGGAGGGAGAGAGGGAGGGAGGGGAGTATAGAAAACGCTGGTTTCTCTGATGATTCTTTTTAAAATTTCCTTTGTCTACCTACTAGTTCAGCTGTGTTTGTGAAGTATTTTCTGTATATTATTCTCTAACCTACACTGTATGACAAACATCCTATCAGAATTTGGTAAGTGGTAGGATCATTGAGCTGTAGATTGCCAGTCCTGCTCACAAAGTCCTTTTTTTAGAATCTCATAGGCAAGATGGAGCTCATCTGAAGTAGAAAGTGAGGAGCTTGTAATAAGATCCTAGCCCAGCACTCATTTAACTCACAGAGGGTCATACACACTTAGTTGGTTACACTTTTGCCTACAAAGTTTTGCAAGTATATTCAGAGTGTTATATTTTTCCTTTGCTTTTTAAAAATAAAAATTGCCTGAGGTACATTGAATTTTGCTTTGGAAGAACACAGTGTGTGTTTCCAACACTGCAGCCCTTAGTGCTTAGCCTTCCTGTCCAGTGTGTGCCTTGACTGGTCTTCTGCACTGCTGCATGCTAGTGAAGACTCCTTGTCAGCTGGGGCTGATGCACGCTTCCGTCTTGCTCACTTGTCCTTTGTTGTAACTAACAAGTCAATGATGTAGGCATTCAGAACATGCTTCTACAGTGCTGTCACTTGGGAACTCATGTGTACATTACTGTAGGCCATGGCTACCACTTTATTGTGTTTGCTGTTTGCAGGGTCACACATGACATATGGTTCCTCAGTACACTCTCACTACCTCCTGTGTAAACACTGAAGTGGGGTTCACTGTTAGAAGCAGAATTCCTGTGACAATGTGGTTTTCATTGTGCTATAGTGTAGAGTCCACAGTAGTGTGAATATGTTTCATCTGTTTATTATGTGTGAATATTTGGATTTGTTTAAATGCTTTGGGAAGAATACTTTAGTATTTCTTTAAAGTAAGGGGTAGATAGCAGACAGTGAGTTTTGTATCTGTCAGAATATAACACAGTCAGTTCATCTTTCTGAGACCTAGAAGCCTCTTGTAGGTGACAAGTTGAGAAATCCTGGCTATGAGAGAGATTTCTACTCAGCCGAGCTTGCTCACTATCAGCAATACTTACGATTTCAAAATGCTGAGAAGCAAGGATGCTTCTCCAATTTTAGGCTCTCCCATTGAGCCTGTATGTTCAAGTTCATTTACCATCTCATGCAAAGATGGCATTTGACTGAGGATGTTAGGTTACAAGATTACAAAAAGATATTTCTAGCTGTGAAATTATTTGGTTCTCTGCCATATCAGGGAGTAATTTAAGTGAAAACACTGTGAGTTCAAGTCTACTCCCCTTTTATCGTTTCTTCTGGAATCTGAACAGATGTCAAGCCATGTTCAGGTTCTACAGAGTTAGCATAAGAGATTTCTGTGGTGTAGACTGGCAGGTTGATGGACAGATTCATGTGGAACAGTGAGAGTGTACTGGTGACTTCTGAGTGCTAAGGGCCGTTCTTGTTCCATTTCCCACTTGATCAGTTTTAAGTCTTCAACACACACCAAGCAGTGAACAGTCTTGGACACTCCCTCATACTCAGGCCAAGTTTTAAGTGAGGAAACTCAATCTTTAGTAGTAGCAATAGTTAACTGTTGCTGTGTGTCTGACACTAGAATTTATAGTAAAAGCATAGCTACAGAAAGCAACGATACTGTCTTTCTTAGATATTTTACTTTTAGTATCTTCATGTCTTCAGAATTATTCTGGTATTTACAGGCGAATGCAGAGTTAAACTAAGACTACTGCAAAATGATTTCCACCAGTTTCTTATTCCTTTGAAATACAGATCTTATTTGAGCCTCAGTTTTGTACTTTAAGTGTAGAAGATGAACAAATTGGGTAGATTTGCTTTTATATCAAAGACTATTAGTTGCCAGAAGATTAATTTTTTAATTGCTGTTGAGCACTGACTTAAGCTTCAAGAATTCAACCGTACCCCTTCTGTATCTAATGTTATTTACCACTAAGACATTGTTGTAGGCGGGGCAGTGGTGGTGCATACCTTTAATCGCAGCACTCAGGAGGCAGAGACAGGTGGATCTCTGAGTTTAAGGATAGCCAGAACTACAGAGCAAGTTCCAGGACAGCGGGGAGGGGGTTGGTGGTGGTGGTGGTGGTGGGGAGGTATACAGAGAAACCCTGTCTTGAAACAACAAAAAAATGGCTTTAGAATAAGTGTTTGTTCTCAGGTATAGTTCCTGTGCCTAAAACATTGTCTGAAGCCAAAGTGGGGTCAGCAAAAGGCCTTTTTACTATGATACCTTAAGCTGAAGCACCCATATTTCTTAACCAGCTTTGTTGTACAAGATACATTCTATTCTGTTCCCTGTGGACTGTCTCTTGATGGATTGTCAGCCCTTCTTGACCACTGAGTGTAGGGTAGGAACTCTCAGGACTTCTATGAGGGTTAAAGGAAATAATCTAGGAGGACAATAGTGATAGGATTTTCACAGGGTATTCACTCATAATGTGTCTATGGGTCTGCACATACACACATGCATATGGTGTGTGCACATGCACCCATAGGCTCACATGAACACACACTTTGGTACCAAGTTACCCAGCTGTTGTACCCGTTGTGTTTGACTTGGTTGGATGCTGGATGAGTGATTTTGTTTTCCCTTAGAGACTTAGAGGAGGTTATGGCTACAGGGCCTGGGTTTGCCTTACCTGTTAGCTGTCGGTAGTACTTTTTTATATACCATTGAGTTAGGTAGTTTTCTTTCTAGTTAGCTGAAAACAGCTCTAGTTTAAAACTTTCACAAGTAATAGGTTTCATTTCAGAGGAGTTGTTTTAAGTATATGATTCCCTAGTAATTGTTTTCTAAAAAGAAACAAAACCCCATACTCTTTTATATTATGATTTAAAAGTCTGAAAATAAGATTTTCCAAAGAACTGTTTTTCCATTCTTAAAAATGTCCTAGTGAGCCAGGCATAGTGGCACATGCCTGTAACCCCAGCACTCAGGAAGAGGATGCAGGAGGATTGCAAGTTCGAATCCAGCCGGGCTACATAGTGAGACCCTGACTCAAAAAACAAAAAAGAAAAAGTCCTAGTGAGTACACAATGGCATTATCTGATTTTGATGACAGAGAACCTGAGCATTGTAAAGCAAACAGTGCGGTTAACATTGCATAGTACACAAGTGGTGGCCTGGCCTGTCTCTTGAATCTGTTAGCCATAGGATACTTGGTGGGGAGAGCAGGGAAATGTTAGTGATTTAATACGAAATTTTCAAAGTTCTGAACTTAAGCTCATGAAAGCAGTCCTTATAGTCTTCTCTAGAACTCAACAACAACAAAACATTGATTTCAGTGACAGGACACTTCCTTAAGGCTCTGTTGAACAGCTCAGAAGTATCTCTTGGCATAGAGCAATGCTGCGTCTTCTAACCTGTCTTGCTGCTGCAGCTGCTCCTAGAGCCTGTAGATTTACTGTGAAACACGTGAGCTCATGGAGAGTATTTTCTGAGGTACTTGTTTTCTGCTATTTTCATTACAGCTTTTGAGGAACTTGAAAAAGCCTTGAGTACAGCCCAAAAAACTGAAGACGCACAGAGAAGAATGAAGGTGGAGATGGATGAACAGATAAAGGCTGTTGAGAGAGCGAGCGAGGAGGAGCGCCTCCGCCTTCAGCATGAACTGAGTCGGGTGAGGCAGGAGGCTGTCAGCATGGCGAAAGTAAGGATGACTTTGATCAGCATGGCTTGGTCCGATGTTCATTCCCCAAGTCTTTGTAAGAGAGTCAGTTTGTACTGTAGAACTTGAGCATTTGATGATACAGTTCAGGATACAGTGAGAAGCACTTTGGCAGAGACTGTCACACTTAGACGTGTCCAGGATGCTTCAAAGCCTTGCCTTTCCAGTTACCATGCTCCTCATTGGCTCGGTGGCCTGAGTCTCCTGAGGTAGGTTGCTTACCTGCTTCAGTGCATACTCTCAGAACTCAGTCAAGAAAGCTTCTCGGACTTGGGAGTATACGACCGAGGTTGGGTATTTAAAGGTTTTAAAGGATAATTACTCATTTATTTGGTTTTTATATATTGGTAGGGATCAAACCTTTGGCGTCACATATGATAAACACCTGTTTTACCACTAAGCTACATTCCCAGACCTTTAAAGGATACTTATCAATGCTCTGGTTACACTTAAAAAATATAATGTTTTTACAATTTTTAATTTGTATAAAATGTTGTCTTTTGAGAACTTAAAATTGTTTGTATTTGTGTATGTGTATAACAAACTCGGACAGCATCTGTGTGGAGATCAGTACACTTGAGAGAGTTGGCTCTCCCCATTGCTGTGTGGGTTCCAGAGATTGAACTCGCTCGTCAAGCTTGCAAGCAGGTGCCTCTTTACCTGCTGAGGCCTCACGCAGGCCTGTGAAGTTGCCTTTTAAGAAGTTTGGCACTGTTGTGAAGATCAGTAGGTGAGACCAGCACCTGAGTGGGCTGGTCATGGCTGTAGATTGGCAGATCCTGAGAGCCGGCCGGCCAGCCTGTCTCTAATCTGCAGATTTCAAGGTTCATTGCAGTAACTTGTAGAGTGAGAGGAAGACTCCCAGTGTCCTGCAGTATCCTTACTGCACATAAGGGTATAGAGAGGGAAGTTAAATAATGTTCACACATTTACTTCCTTCTGTGGGACTATAAACATCTAGAAAAGTATCGATTAATTACAACCTGTTTCTGTATGTGTGCATGTGGGCAGCCATACCCATGCTCATGTGCAAACAACATACACACACACACACACACACACACAGATACACAAGGAAAAAAAAGAATAAGTAATTTTCAAAATTTCATAGGTTTCCAGTTTTTACAACCAAGTGTACAGGCAATTAATTATGGTGTCTAATCCCTGTTCCTGGCTCCCAGCTCTTTCCCTTCATTCCATACTTGCCTTAATTGTTTCTCCATTTTATCCTAATCATTTTTTGAGTCCTCATTTGTATTACTGGATATACACAGCCTTGACTCAAAGTCCTTTTATTATTTGTTTGTAGAAGCTTTTTCCTGATAGTGGAAGTTAGCCTTTTAGATATAAGGAACTTATTCAAATACTTTTTCTGTTGAAAAGAACGTTTTCTTTTCTCGGTATTTAAGGTTACTAGTTTTATTCTTTAACTGCTTCCTGGATTTTGTTCTATTTAATTTTAATTACATTTATTTATTTATTAATTTAGTGTTCATGTGCATGTTTGCGTGCGTGCATGTTTCCATGTGTGTAGGTTAGTGGACATAGTGAGGGAATTGGTTCTCTTACACTTCTTGGATGACAGGGCTCAAACTCTGGTTATGAGTTTGGCTGCATATGCTGTAAAGTGTGAGCATCTCAGTGGTCTGTGTGTGAGCATTTCAGTGGTCTGCTTTTAGCTATGTTTTAACACACCTGTGGGACTGTGGCTGTAAGTCAGTTGCAGGGTGCGTGCCTAGCATTTTCAAGGCTCTGGGTTCAGTCCTGGTTATTATAAAAACCAAAACACACACATGCCCAATTCTGAGACCATTGGTTTTTGTTTCATCCTTTATGTGTTTTTATTTGGGTTTTGAGGCAGGATTCACCATGTAGCCCAAGCAGCCCCTACGTGCCTGTCCAGTGTCAGCCTCCCAAGTGCTGGGGTTACAGACGTGAGTCACCATGCTTTGTGGGTTGTGTGTTGTTCTAGGTCTGTTGTTTCATTTTGACTTTCATTTGCTTATGGTTACATCTTTGTTCTGATTGAATTTATTTGGTATGAAGAATAAGATTGAAATTCAACTTAGTTTTTTGCCAGGGGACTAGTATCACACTCTAAACCATATATTTAATATATAGCCTTTGTCCCCTGACATGGCATTATCGTTATTATATAGTAAATGTGTAAGATGTCAGTCGGCAGGTGTCCCCCCGCACATACACCTTTGCATGCCACAGTGTGCTGCTGCCATGCGGTATATCGTCACTGCATCTGAGGAGCTGCTCCCCTGCCTGCTACTCCTTCCCCACCATTTCCTTTGGTAGTGGTGATGGGGGCATTCTTGGCTCTTCTTAACCACTGAGCCGTCTCTCTGGACCCTAATTGTTGGCTCTTGTAACATGCAAGTTTTAGTCTCAACAGCCTCCCTCATTCTTTTGGTGTTTCATTGCATTAACGTTTTTAGATTTATGTAGGGAAAGTTGATATTTTTATAAAATTGAGTTTTCCTTTCCAAGAAAGAACAAAGCCAATAATGCTTAAACAAATAAAGCCTTCCTAGAAAGCTAGGCACACCCTGACCACAGTGAAGGGTCTGTTCTGAGAGCAGCCTTCCTCCTGTCTCCTGTCTTCCTCCCCTCCCCTCTACTATCCTAACCACTGGAGGATTTACTACAGGTTACGAAAATGGAGCTCCAGCCCCAGAGGACCCTGAGGCTGCCCTCAGTTTCTTTAATCAAGAGACAATTATTTAGGCTTTCTTTCAACTGCTCTGACTTTGGAGCCAATTCTTATGTTTCCTCTTAACAAGTTATTAGTGTGGTTAATTACAGGTCAGTAAAGGTGACTTAGTTGTGGAGTTATGTGGCTTTTCTGGCTGTTTTCATTTACCTTTTGGCTTGATTTCAGAAGAATTCAGAAGAACAACTTGCTGAACTCCAGAAGCTGCATGCCGAGGAGCTGGCCAGCAAAGAGGAGGAACTGACCAGGAAGCTGGAGGCCCGGGAGAGGGAGCTGCAGGAGCAGATGAGGATAGCTCTCGTAAGTGCTGTTTTGTCTTTGCTGAGGCAAACCTCAGAGCTACCATCCACTCAGGTGAGGTGGAGGTTTCTAGCAGCCTTGACTTCCGTATATAAGAGGACAGGAGGAAGCAAAGGGGGCCATTAGTTCTGTACTCATCACGTGAGGTCAGGCTTCCATCAGTCTATATACCTGCCCCTTCCCATCTTGGCCGTAGACAGTACTTAGAAGGAGGGTAGGAAATGATGGCTCAGATGTCTCAAAGCCCAGGATACGGGCTATATTGATGGCCTCCCAAAGTGTATTCTGAACTGAAGTTTAAAGAACAAACCTTTGAATTCATATAATGTCTAAAAAATAGAGTTAAAAAAAAACAAACAAACTACTGATCTAACAGTAATAATCAGAAAAGCAAAGATTCAGACATTTGCTGAAAAGGATGTGATTTGAAAATTTAATCAAAAGGTAATTTTCCTCAATTGTGAGAACCTTTTATGTGAGTTACCACAAAGTTGTTTGGATAAAATTATCAAGAAAGTACATGAAATTATCATTGATAAAATAATATGTATGATTTTGAAACATGTTCCATGTGGAAGGATTGGAAATGCTGTCTGGGGTCTGACTCTGAGTTGTCTGAGCATCTCCAGAAGTATTGAGTCTTGCCTGAGGCAACACGTTTTCTCATCTCTGGAAGGAAAATAGGCACTTGGGATTAGAGAACACTTATGCACAGCTAGGAAAATAGTGTGGTTGAAACTGTGCCCAGGTGTTGTGCTACGTGCCTTTAATCTCAGCAGAGGCAGGGGAATCTCTGATTTCAAAGCCAGGCTGGTCTACATAGTGAGATCCAAGACAGGCAATACTACACAGAGAGAAACTTGTCTCAAAAAACCATGGTGGCTAGAGGGATGGCTCAGAAGTTAAGAGCACTGGCTGACCTTCCAGAGGTTCTGAGTTCAATTCCCAGCAACCACATGGTGGCTCACAAGCATCTGTAATGGGACCCGATGCCCTCTTCTAGTATGTCTGAGAACAGCTACAGTATACTACTCATATATGTAAAATAAATAATTCTTTTAAAAAAAAACCAAAAAGGAAAACAAGGCAAAAACAAAGAAAACAAAATTGGAAATATTAAGGTAGCTTACAAGAATATTTATTTCAGCATAAACTATAAGTAGTTGCATGGAAATCAGAGAATACCATGGAATGTACACTGAGCTGGAAACAAAGCTGGAAGGGCCGCTGTGGGTCTGAGCAGGCATCAGCTGTGCCTTCTAGGAGCTGACACTCTCAGCTGTATTTCAATGAAAGTAGGGGGAAAAAAGACATAAATCCATATGCATACAGAGAGATCTAACTTCTTCATTCAGCAGACTTTAAAATTTCCTCTATAAAGTATACCTAAAAATACTGAAATCAAGGTTGTGGATAATTCTATCTTCTCAGTCTATCCTGTAATATGAAATCATTTTGTATAGCCCTGTGTGTCACCATGCTATATAGTACGTCTAAATACTGCTGCAACGCTTGCTCTTTAAGCAACAGTATACATAAACATACCTAAAGCTAGAGTGTAAGCAGGAAATTACAGTTTAGTATGCTAATTTAATGTTAAAAGTGCTTGTAACCTTTGCCATGGGTGTTTTTATTTATTAAGAATGGAGGATTTTCAGAGCTGGCTACCCTGGAAAGCCTCAGAGCCTGGTTCTGCAGATGAGATGTTGTTTTGGGATTTATGTGGGATTGTGATGGTATCGATTGTTTTTGGCACAGGAAAAGAGTCGATCAGAATATTTGAAGCTCACCCAAGAAAAAGAGCAGCAAGAATCCTTGGCTTTAGAGGAGGTAGAGCTGCAGAAGAAGGCCATCCTCACAGAAAGTGAAAACAAACTCCAGGAACTCGGGCGAGAAGCAGAGGCTTACCGAACTGTAAGTGCACATGCTGTGTGGGCTCCAGAGCTGGACATCTCTGTGTCTGTGGCGACTGTCCCCAGAGCTGGGGAGGCCTATGTCTCTGAAGACATTTCTCTCCAGTCAGCATCAGGTTCTGAGGAGCATCTGGCTTGTGGGGTTGGATGTATGTGTGCATGCTCTTCACCTTTAATGAGAAGTGTTCATGAGAATGTATGAATACTTTTTTGGCCTTGGGCTGTTTAGCACATTGTCTTTCTTGGTTTGCTCCCAGCTCTGTGTTTGTGGCAGCCCTTGACTCTGCCTGTTAGCACACAGACTCTGCAGTGACTGCATTCTATTCTTACCCATCCTTGCTCCCTAGGAAGTGGTCTCACTGTAGGCAGTGTGTGTTCTGATACCTTCCTACCTGTCCAGTGCTATTATATACTATGTCCAAAATATAGCCCATGTTCTACTTTTGTCACAATTTAGTTACACCAATGTCCTGCTTTTATGGGTTTAAAAATGGGTTTAAAATCACCCATTTTTCCATATTAAACATGGTGCTGGAATGAAGTATTTGTTATAGTGTCAGTGTATGTAGTTTTCTGCCATTTTTCTTGCCAGTGTTAGAGATATGGGGCCTGCAATAGGAACATGCTGATGGTATTTAGATCTGGCAGTCTTGTTAGGCCATCCAGCAGTCACACTTCTTTGCATAGTTGTAAGTTGATCTCTGCTCTTTTTTACAGACATTTCAGACACAGTGACATGGTGCAATGAGGTGGCATTGACAGGCTGGATCTGCACTGCTGCCTTTGCAATGCATTGCACCAGTCACCAAGGGCCTGGACCTGTCAGTGTCTTAGGACTGTTCTAGCTCTGACGTTAAGAGTAAAGAATTAATATTCTCTGATATAACAGCAACCTTTGGTTAAATATGTTCAAGAATATTCTTTAAGGAAAAACAAAACTGTGCAGGTTGGTGAGACAGCTTAGGATAACATGCTTGCTGCACAGGCCTGGCCATCAGAACCTGATCCCCAACCACCGTGCAGGGAGACAGCCAATTCCCAGACTTCCCTGTCCTCTGCAGCCGCAGGTACATTCTCCTCCTCTTCCTCCTCCTTCTCCTCCTTTTCCTTCTTCTCCTCTTCCTCCTCCCCTTCTTCCTCTTCCTCCTCCTCTTCTTCCACCTCCTTGCCTCCTTATTCTCTCTCTCTCTCTCTCTCTCATACACACACTCACACACACACATGCACGTGTGTGCGTGCGTGCATACACACATAAATAATAAATAAAATTTTAAAAGCTTTTAAGTATATGCTTTTGGGGGTAGAAAAAGGAGATGCCCTTTTTCCTCAAAATTAAGTTGTAATAAAATACTATTGTAAACCTAAAAACATGGAGTGTGGAGATCCATCTTCCTACCAGACTTACTATCATTATTTGCTTTGTGATTTATTTTCTTTTTGACTATCCCATTAGAATTTTTTTTTTTAAATAGAGATGCTGAAATGGCTATAGAATGGTGAGTAGAGGAAGTACAGAGCTGAGTTTGTGTTCATGATTGTGTTAGTGACCGAGCACAGCAGGCTGTTTCCCCTCTCTTATGTTTGGTATGGTATGTGAGGCATTCAAAGCTTTAGGCAGGCCCGTGTAATCTGTATATCATCGCTAGTAAGCAAGTATATCATTAGCAAAATACATCTGTTTTTCATTAACAGAGAATTCTTGAATTGGAAACCTCTTTGGAAAAACGCTTACAAGAAAGCAAAACTCATTCAGAGCATTTGGCTGTTCATCTGGAAGCTGAGAAGAATAAGCACAATAAAGAACTCACAGCCCTGGCTGAGAAGCACAGGACAGAACTGGAGGGCCTCCGGCAGCAGCAGGACAGCCTGTGGACTGAGAGGCTCCAGAGCCTCTCGCAGCAGCATCAGGCTGCTGTGGAGGAGCTCAGAGAGAAGTATCAGCAAGAAAAAGATGCATTACTGAAGGAGAAGGAAAGTCTCTTCCAGGCCCACATACACGACATGAATGAAAAGACCTTGGAGAAGCTGGACCAGAAGCAAATGGAACTGGAGTCTGTATCTTCCGAGCTGTCAGAAGCTCTAAAAGCCCGTGACCAGCTTGCAGAGGAGCTTTCTGTCCTAAGGGGTGACGCAGATAAAATGAGGCAGGCTTTAGAGGCTGAGCTGGAGGAGCAGAGGCGTCACCACCAGCGTGAGGTTGACAGCATTAGTGAGCAACAAGAAATAACTGTCCGCAGAACCGAGAAGGCACTGAAGGATGAGATCAACCAGCTGGGGGGTCTCCTGAAGGAGAAGGATGAGCACCTGAAAGAGCGGCAGGCCCGGGTACAAGATCTTGAAGCTCATCTTCAAAAGTCTGCTGGGGAGCTCCAGCAAGCCTTTGCCAAGCTGGATCTCCTCCACGCTCAGCAGAGCACCGCACATGAGCAGACAGGCGCATATGAGGAGCAGCTGGTCCAAATGCAACAAAAGGTGTTGGATCTGGAAACAGAGAAGAACCTTCTTACCAAGCAGGTAGTGGAAATGGAAACACAAAAAAAGCACATGTGTGTGGAGTTGGACACTCAGAGAGCTCAGGTGCAGCAGCTGGAGGGAGAGAGAAGTGAGCTGGAGGAGAAGGTCAGATCGTTAGCCCAGCTCCAGGAGTCACAGCTCAAGAACAGTACTGTGGAGAAGGAGCAAGCACAGCAAGGCCTGATAGAGAAGGAAAATGTCATCTTACAGATGAGAGAAGAACAGGCCAAGGAAATCGAGATCCTCAAGCAGAAATTGTCTTCTAAAGAAGAGAGCATTAGTATTTTGCACAAGGAATATGAAACCAAATTTAAAAATCAGGAAAAAAGAATAGAAAAAATTAAGCAGAAAGCAAAAGAAATGCAAGAAACGAAGAAAAAGTTGTTGGATCAGGAAGCCAAACTTAAAAAAGAGCTTGAAAATACTGTCCTCGAGCTTAGTCAGAAAGAGAAACAGTTCAATGTTCAAATCCTGGAAATGGCACAGGCTAACTCAGCTGGAATTAGCGACACGGTGGCGAGACTAGAGGAGAACCAGAGGCAGCAGATAGAAAGCCTGACCGAGGCTCATCAGCGAAAACTTGATGATGTCATAGAGTCCTGGGAAAAGAAGCTGAGTGAGCAGGCTGCAGAGCTTCGGGCCGAGCATGAGAAGCAGCTACAGGAGAAGGAGCAGGAGATCCTCACAGTCCAGGCTGAAAAAGAGGAGGTGACTAAGGAAATGGTGCGGTTGACAGAGGCGGTCACTGGGCAGGACGTGGCACTAGCTGGCCTGCAGGGACAGCTGGAGCAGAAGTCTGCTGTCATTGTTTCACTTTCAGAGCATCAAGCTCAGCTACAGTCACAAGTGGAAAAGCTGGAGGCTGACTTGGGTTGTTCTCTGAATGAAAAGCTTTCTCTTCAAGAGGAGCTGGCTGAGCTGAAACTGCTGGCAGAAAAGGATCAGCTCAGGGTCTCTGAGCTGACGAGCAAGGTGCGGGCTGCAGAGGAGGAGCTCCAGAGCTGTAAGTCTTCACATGAGATCAGCAAGAAGAGCTTGGAGGACAAAAGCTTGAACCTCAAAGCCTTGCTTGAGGAGCTAGCATCTCAGCTAGATAGTCGCTGTGAAAGAACTAAAGCGTTGTTAGAAGCCAAGATGAATGAACTAGTCTGCACCAGCTGTGACAAGACCGACGCTATTCTTTCTAGGCTGTCACACTGCCAGCGGCACACAGCCACAGTTGGGGAGGCACTGCTCAGGAGAATGGGCCAAGTTTCTGAATTAGAAGCACAACTTACACAGCTGACAGAGGAGCAGCAGACACTAAAGAGCTCTTTTCAGCAAGTTACCAATCAGTTGGAAGAAAAAGAAAATCAGATTAAGACCATGAAGGCTGATATTGAAGGTCTTATCACAGAAAAAGAAGCCTTACAGAAAGAAGGAGGCCAGCAGCAGCAGGCGGCCTCTGAGAAGGAGTCATGTATCACACGGTTGAAGAAAGAGTTATCAGAAAACATCAATGCCCTCACACTACTGAGAGAAGAACTTTCGGAGAAGAAGTCTGAGATTGCCAGTCTTAGCAAGCAGCTGAGTGATGTCAGTGCTCAGCTGGAGAGCAGCATCAGCCCAAGTGACAAGGCCGAAGCCATCTCTGCTCTGAGCAAGCAGCATGAGGAACAGGAGCTGCAGCTGCAAGCTCAGCTTCGAGAGCTGTCTTTGAAAGTCGATGCTCTGAGTAAGGAGAAAATGTCTGCCCTTGAGCAGGTAGATCATTGGTCCAACAAGGTCTCAGAGTGGAAAAAAAAAGCACAGCCCAGATTGGCACAGTACCAAAGCACTATTAAAGACCTGCAGGCACAGCTTGACTTAAAAGCCAAAGAAGCTAGTGAGAAGGATGAGCAGATACGTTTACTGAAGGAAGACCTTGATCAGCAGAATAAAAGATTTGAATGTTTAAAGGGTGAGATGGAAGACAGGAAGAGCAAGATGGAGAAAAAGGAGTGTGACTTAGAGACTGAGTTAAAGACTCAGACAGCAAGGGTCATTGAATTAGAAGACTGCATTACTCAGAGGAAAAAAGAAGTTGAGTCCTTAAATGAAACACTTAAGAATTACAGCCAGCAGAGGGACACTGAGCACAGTGGACTGGTTCAGAGACTTCAGCACTTGGAAGAGTTGGGAGAAGAGAAAGACAACAAGGCTAGGGAGGCTGAGGAGACAGTCCTGAGACTACGAGAGCAGGTGTCCTCACTGGAAGCTGAACTTGGAGTTGTGAAGAAGGAACTAGAACATGTGAATTCAAATGTGAAAAGCAGAGATGGGGAGTTGAAAGCTTTAGAAGACAAACTTGAGTTAGAAAGCGCTGCAAAAGTGGAGCTGAAGAGGAAGGCGGAGCAGAAGATTGCTGCCATCAGGCGGCAGCTCTTGTCTCAGATGGAAGAGAAAGCACAACAGTATGCGAAAGACACAGAAAGCCAGTTGAGTGAGCTGAGTGCAAAATTACAAGAAAGAGAAAAGCAAATTCACATCCTAGAAGACAGACTTAAAAACCTAGAAAGTTCTCCACAACCAGAAATGCCAGTTGTGTGTAGATCTATGGGAAATGTGGCAACATCTCTTGAGCAAGAAGCAGCAGATTTCCAAGACTGTACACAGAAGGCATGTAAAGAAAGAATCTGCATGCTGCAAAGATGTTTAATTGAAAAAGAGAAGCTGCTGCACAGGCTGGAGCAGGGTGAAGGGGAGGCAGTGTCATTGCAGTCTGAGGTGCAGCACAGGGAGCTCTCGGGAAAGTCAGACCGCACCAGAGCCAAGCAGCTCGAAGACCAAGTTTTGATAGGGTGTCTTCAAGAAGAACTGGAAGAAAAGATGAAGTGTTCCTTAACTGTGTCCCAGCCCATGGGAGAAGACACTGGGAAAAACGACCCAGGCATGAAGCAGGATTGGACAGGTGTGGTTGACAGTGTCCAGAAAACCCTTCAGGAGAAGGAGCGGACCTGCCAGACCCTGGAGCAAAGGGTGAAAGAGCTGGAGTCCGAGTTAATCAGAGAGAGGGGCGCCCATAGACTTGAAATGGAAAAGTTGACCTTAAAATCACAATCTTTACAGCAAGAAGTGGATGGGAAAAATAAATCTGTGGAAAATTTGGAAGATAGGCCTGAGGAAAATTCCAAATCACATGTGATCCAGTCGAAATTGGGAACTACGATGGATGGCCAGAACAGTGACCTGGAGTCAAAGTTAGCAGGGGCGGAGCGGGAAAAGCAGAAGCTGAGCAAGGAGTTGGCGAGGCTACAGAAAGATCTTCGAGCTCTGAGAAAGGAGCATCAGCAGGAACTGGATCTCCTGAGGAAAGAATGTGAACAGGAAGCAGAGGAAAAGCTCAAGTAAGTGTTGTTCCTACCTTGAGTGTCTGTGTGCCTGTGTGCGTGGGCGCGTGCAGTGTACATTATAGACACTTTTACCTGCCTAGTAAGTTAAGTACTGAGGAGAAATGATAATTTGGGGCTGGAGACAGCGTTATTCCATGTTGGTTTAGGGGACACAGCTTTTCTTGCAGGTAAGATCACAGCTGCTGGCTTCGTGGCTTGAGTAATGATCTCATTGCTCTTCTCTTAGTCGTAGTCTTGTGACTGTAACATGCATGTCTAGGGGAGAAATTTAGAGTAAGAAGGAACAGTTCTCCAGAGCCCAGGTTAGTGCTGAAGGTAATTATAGTTTATTAGTCTCACACTGTAAACACTGTTTTCGATCCCCTCCCCTCCCCCCTGGCCACCCCCACGCACACACTCAAAATGGTTTCAACAGAAGTGAGGTTACATTCTTCTGGAGCCTGCTCCCTGTTTGCAACTTGCTCTGTGGAGACAGCAGTCATCGCTGTCCACTCTTGTTACTCAGACAGGAGCAAGAGGATCTTGAGTTGAAGCACACTTCCACACTGAAGCAGCTGATGCGGGAGTTTAACACGCAGCTGGCACAGAAGGATCAGGAGCTCGAAAGAACTGTTCAGGAGACTATTGGTAAGCACAGCTTGAAACTCGGTAGGGACACCACTCAGGAGGCCACAGTGAAGTTTATTCTCTTTTCTGTTGTGGTAGGTGCTGTATGTCTCTAAACTTGAGGGGAAAATGGTCCCTTGTTCTCTAGAAAGTCCTCTAACCTACCTCACCTGTCACTCACTTGCCTTTGGTGAGAAGCAGCATCTCCTCATACCTGTTCTGCTGCATTTCAGCAACATTAATTTGAAATGAGAAATTCCTACTGCCGTTGGCATATAGTCACAAACATGTTTTCTCATTCGTGTTCCTTGTCCTATATTAGATAAGGCCCAAGAGGTGGAAGCCGAACTTCTGGAAAGCCACCAAGAAGAGACACAGCAATTGCATAGAAAGATCGCAGAAAAAGAGGATGATCTGAAAAGGACAGCCAGAAGATACGAGGAGATACTTGATGTATTGTTTTCCTTCTCTTTTGAAATGTAGCCGTGTTTTACGGTAGTGCTGAATATTGTGGCTTCTCACATGTAGAGAGGTCTCTGAGAGAAACTAAAGTGAGGCTTTGTGCTTAGGTTAAGTCTGGGAACTAGAACAGCCTGTGTCTGAGGTGGCTCAGCCTAGCCAGGATCTTCCCAGGACAGTACCTGACCTCCTTCCTTCTCCACTCACTTCAGAGTTTGCTGGTCCAGGGTGGACTGTGTGGGAAAAGGGGATTTATCAGCCAAGTGTTTTGTGTTCAGCAGATGCTCTTTCAGGGTACGTATTCTAGTGGCATTGCAGTAGCAGAATAAAATAAACCACAGATGAGAGGGAGAACTTGGACCCCAAGGATGTTTTCAGATACAACGCTGTCACTTACTCTCCATTGGCGTATTACTCTGTAAGACCTCCAGGCCTCACTGCATCATACACCAGGACACACTTGTTCCAGAAGAACCATACTTGAGCTGCGTCAGCACCACGTGTGTGAGCAAGGGATGGATAGTAACACTCAATGTTTTAAATGTAATCGAACTGAGTCAGATTTCAAGATACACAGTGACGTCTTTGTGCAACGTGTAAGCTTTAAATCTCATTAGGAAAATTAAATTAGTTGCACGTTTTCTTGTACTTTCAGAGTATATTTGTGCTGAGGTTTTAAAAATACAGCTGGGGGCTGGAGAGATGACTCAGTGGTTAAGAGCTCTGACTGCTCTTACGAGGATCCAAGTTCTATTCCCAGCACCTACATGGTGGCTCACAGCTAACTGTAACTCCAGTTCCAAAGGAGCCGGTGTTCTCTTCTATGCTCTGTGGGCACTGCACATGCATGGTACACATAAATTCATGGGCATTTGCATTCACATGGTACATCTAGTCTCATGTAGGCACATAGATAGTAAATGCGATTTTAAGAAACTCATTAAGGTGTTGGTGCCTTTGATCCTGGCACTTCAGGAGCTGGGTTAGGAAGAGCAGGAGTTCAAGGCTAGCCTGGGCTATATAAGACTTTGTCTCAAATAAATACAGTCACTTTTTGACTCCTTTTGGAATGTTTTATGGTCCAGTGTATCTAGTACACCTGATGTACATGGTTTAGTTCTGTCTTCTGATATGTTACTGTCCTTTTCTTTTGTTATTATACAGAAGGGAGCACAACCTTAGTGTAGTTAAATGATTTGCCTAACACTATCTACTGAGTTTTAGAATAGAGATTCATCATTATATTCACATATTTCATGAATAAGTCCCAAGAAAGGAACTTTAAAAAAAAAAAAAACAGGTATTTTTTGATGTGAGAAAAATTCAAGCCTAGAAGCTTCAGGGAGGGAAGTAGCTCTTCTTCTGTGATTCCTCCTCTGTGTGTGGGTATATGGGTGCTAAGGGAGTAGACTGTTCACTGCTGTGATGGGCCTCTGAGCCTAGGGTGATAGGTGGATAGGTAGGAATAGGAAGGTAGGTAACTAGTTCTCTGGAGACTGTGTGAGGGGAGCTAGGAGTGCAGCCCTCCAAGCTGCAGTGGACAGCAGTGTGGGCAGCCTGACTGAGGTGACTCTTTCCCAGGCTCCGTCCTTAGCCTTACATACTTATTAACTGAACATCTTCCAGCAACTGCATTTTACAAAGGGGAGCTTTACTTCAGTCGTATGTGTCAACTGGCTTAACGGAATCAAATGGGAGTGCTTGCACCGTAAGTCAGCAGGGTGGATGGCTGCAGTCCAGGCTTTAGGACTCAGAGCAAAGCTGTTCCTTCCTCCTCTCCTCCTCTTTCCTTCCTCCCTTTCCCTCTGACCATGGGGTACTGCACTCTCCCATCCTTTATGGTAGTTCTGTGATGTATTAATAACAAAGACAAACATAAGCACAAAATGTTTCAGTGCCCCACCCCACCCCACCCGATCCTACATGTGTCTTTTTGTTGTTGGTTTGATTTTTTTGAGACGTGGTCCCACATAGCTCATGCTGGCCTTGATCTTGCTGTGTAGCTGAAAATGACTGAACTCTTGATCACCAGCTTCCACCTTCCATGCCAGAGTTGCTGGTCACCCTTCAGATAACATTCATACTTCCCACATAGGAAGAATGGAAGCTTGCTTTTGCTTCAGATGTCTTTAGGCCCTTCACACACAAGTGCATTTCCATAATTAAGGTGACAGATGTGTGTGTGTCCCCGGCAAGGCGCCGGCATGCGCTACACTCGCAAGACTGTTACTGAGTCATGGCTCATGTTCCTCTTCTGGACTGCACTGTTGCTGCCAGTGGATGCTGTCCTCTCTCTCATCTAGTCTGCTGTGGGAACCAGTCCCCTGTCTCCTGTCCTCTCTCATCATCTAGTCTGCTGTGGGAACCAGTCCCCTGTCTCCTTGCTGCTGAATTTCCTTCCTGTTGGTGTCCTCTGCTGTCTGATGACAATGAATGTGCCCAGCGAGGCTGCATTCTTCCTGAGGTCTGTACACTCAGCTGGAGCCGGTTCTTCACTTGTATAACCTTTGCCCATGCTCTGAGTCTTCATTTGCCACTGCTGCTCTGTGCGGCTTGTGTGACTGTGCTGGTTGGAATGAGAATGGTCCCTGGAGGCTCTGGTATTTGAATGTCTAGTCTAGTTGGTGGATGTTTGAGTGGGATCAGTAGGAAGTGTGGCTTTTTTGGAGAAGGTGTGTCACTGGGAGTAGCTTTGAGGTTTCAAAAGTTGATGCCAGGTCCAGTCCTAGATCTCTGCCTGCTGCCTTCAGCTCAGGATGTGGCTCTCAGCTGCTGCTTCAAGGCCATGCATGCTGCCATGCTCCCACCGTGATCAAGACAGAGTCAACCTCTAAAACTGTAAGCGAGCCCCAAGTAGATGTTTGTAAGAGTTGCCATGGTCATGGTGTGTACAGCGACCCTGTCACAGCAATGGACAGTAAGCGACTGAGACGGCAGCATGCATGGGTCAGGCATCTTCCTCAGTCGCTCTCCATCCTGCTTCCTGCGGCTCAGTCACTCACTGAAGCTAGAACTCCCATGGTGGATTGACCCCAGGATCTCCCCACCAGTGCTTGGGGTGTAGACCTGTACCAGCAAACCTGGCTCTGTGCTGGGATGTTGAGAGTCTGAGCCTGAGTAGTCATCGCTGTGTAGCTGCCACTTTATCCCCTGAGTCGGCTCCTCACCTCTCTGTGCTGCATACTTAAAAAGTTTTCAGTTTAATTTTTATTTAGAAAAACTTGAATCAAATGTATATACACATGTATATTTGAGAATGATATATAGTGAGAGTCACTTTAATTCTTGTTTGTTGTTTTTAAGGAACAGAACCAATTATTAAGAGTTTTCTGCTTGTCGCTCTCCTCTTTCTCTCTTCCTCCTTTCTTTTTTCTGTTTTCATGAACCAGGAGTTTGCACAGGACCTGGTGGCGCCTTGTTGGCCACAGCCTACCACTGAGTTGTCCCCCGGGTCCAGACCTATTTTTTAAGTTATGGACAATTCATTAGGGATTTTTCTCCAATTCTTAGAAGGCTTGCCTTAGCTTATTTGGTAGTCTCCAGCTATCAGAGGGAGTGTCAGACATAGCTAAATGTCTGAATATGCCTGAATAAGTAGCTATGGAGTCTGGGTAGCCACAGGTAGACTCAAAACCACCAAGACCACAGACAGTAATATCTCAATTGCAGGTTGATGATGTTGCACATGGGGCCAGGTCAGTGTGCCTCCCTGGGGAGACATCTGACCTCTGGCCCCACAGACTGGGCTCTGCTGCCTTGTCTCTCATAGCTTCAGAAACCTGCATGAGAAGAAGCAGACTTCTCACACGTTCTGGGGCTCACCACACTCTGTGCCCAGCCATCTGCTTGTCTTTGAGATCAATGTATCCCATTCGTCTGACAGCCAGCTTCTGTTCAGTGACACCTAGTGGTGGTGGTTTTCCTGTAGCTCAGTCAGTATGGACTCTTCATTACTAAGTATTCCAGCTCTAACTGTTCCTTAGCACAGAGGTCTTGCATAATTTCTGACTGAGGCAAGATCTGAGCATCCTCAGAACACAACAGAAGGTGATCTGTGTGTCAGACTTCTAAGCAGGACCATGGCGACAAAAATCATCTAAGTCTTTTCTAGTTCAGCTTTGCCTATTTTTTTGTTTTGCAATGTTTTGGAAAAATGAAGAAGTAGTTGTATTATGTTACTTGAGAGCTGTATGATGTGAGGACGGATGGGTATGAAATGTGTAGGTTAGTAGACAGACTTCAAAGACCAACTCTTGAGTTACCCAGCTTATCCGGAATTAGTGAAGAAAATGAAACCAGATCATTCTACAGCTTCTTGGGATCAGTCAGTTGCCAGCTGGATGTGAAAATACTACTTTATTTCCTGAATATCTTTAGGAACTCCACTATATGAGAACACTGAAACCTTAAACCCTGGGATCTGCGCACAGCAGGACCTGATAATACCACCTCGAGGGGTGGAAGTGGCTGACGGCCTTGGTTGATGTGGGTAGAGGGAGTGTTCGGGAGCCATGGCATTCCAAGAAGTGCACAGGGCTAATACAGACCTGGATTGGGCGAGGAAGGGGCAGAGAGTAGTGACAGAAGTTGTGTCTCACAGCTGTGTGACTGGTGTGCTTTGTAACCTTGTTGCCACATTGCCGTTTTCATGCTAAAGGCCCGTGAAGAAGAAATGACTGCAAAAGTAACAGACCTGCAGACCCAGCTTCAGGAGCTCCAGAAGAAATACGAGCACAGGCTGGAGCAGGAGGAGAGCGCCCAGGACAGTGTGAGAGGACTTTGAGTTTCTTCTTGTGGTTCTGGGAAGTGTGGCCATTTCCACGGCTTGGCTCACCCGCTGCCACACGTGCAGCTCATTTAATCCTAGGGCCTTTGAGGACTCAAGTTCCTTTTTCAGTCAATGCAACTAAAACCAAATATTGTGTTAAGTGCCATAGTGGAATTTAAATCCAGGCTTCCACATTCAAAGTTAAACTTTGCTGTTTCCCAGTACTTCCTGGCCTTTCCACAGACAATCTAGCAGACTGTGACTTCACCCTTGAGAAGATTTCTTCCAGGTTACCAGTCACTGAGAACAGCAGTTTCTTAACAGCCAGTTACTTGGCTCTCCTGTCCAGAGTGCAGGACGAAGCCTCTGTAAACGGCCTCTCTGAGCAGTGCTCCTCACTAGTGAGCGAGTGGAAAGGACCCTTTTCCTACTCAAGATAGCCATAAACAAGTTCTGTTTGTTAGCATGTGACTGTGGCTGAGGGTACCCCTTTGCTATTAAGTACTGCTTCTGGGAAAACAGGTATCTTGGTACCATGAGCTTCCCTAGCATGAGAGTATTGCTGTTGTAGCCTCAGTACCAGAGCGCTGGTGCACTGTGAAGCTGACACAGATGCTCTGACCTCTTATCCTTGTCACAGAAGAAGGAAGAGACTATCTCTCCATTCTCCTTGAGCATGTGCCAGTGCTTCTGAATGTTTTAATTTTGTCTTTACTTGAGGTAGTAGGTCCTGCCATGTTTCCCTGGCTTGAGCCTTGAGCTCAGTCAGCTTCTGCTCAAGCCGTCTTCCCAGCTCAGCCTCCCAAATAGCTGGCCTCGAGCTGACACGGTTTTCCTTCCAGGTTCTAAGGTCTTGAGTCACATGTACCTGTGCTGAGTCCCATGAGAAACACTTTGTAATCAGAGCCCAGCATGAGCCTCAGAGGCTGTGCTCAGAAATGTCTTAAAGGACTGTGAAAGACGAGACATGTTTACTCACGAAGTTACGTGCATGGTAGACAAACATTCTTGTGTCGGTAATTCTGAAGGACAGAGATTACCGCTTGTGCTGGGCATCTGTCTCCCTTTCTGACATGACAGCTACTGCTAGAGCTGTCTCAGCCTTCCAGTCCTTTCCTCTGTGTTTATGTATGTGTGCATGTGGACAGTGTAGATATCAAAAGTAGACTAGATTAGAAACAATGATTTGAAATTGCTTTATTAAGACCTGATCACTCTCTTAAGATTGTAAAGCTGGCTTCTCATTTTCTCATCATTTCATGCACGGTGCTCTGTCTTATTGTTTATTCTACCTGTGGGTTTTATTGTTTAAATTCTTTTTATTTTTTTCATCTCCAGGTAACAGTTATGGAGCTACAGGTAAGATTAGTTTTTCATTGATGTTTACTGAAGCTAGTACATTTTAGGAGCACCCCCCCCACACCCCATACCCCACAACCCTCTCTCCATTTAAACAAGTTTAAATGTAGATACTGTTTCTACAAAGAAAGTTTTTTACAAGCAGTACAGAAAGAAACAGGTCCAGGCACTGAGAGGATCCACTCATTTCCATGTGGCTTCTGTTCTTTCAGACACAGCTGGCCCAGAAGACCACTCTGATCAGCGATTCCAAGTTGAAGGAGCAGGAGCTGAGAGAGCAGGTACAGCGAGTGTGGCTGCTGGTGGTGTGGACTTAGGGACAGTTGAGTTGGTGATGACGTCATACTGTGAAGTTTATCTCCAGACCCACACGTGCTTGAGGCAGTCCTTCCACCTGTAATTGCATATACTTATACTGGAACATTAGGGTTTTGTTTCTTAGGTGTATTTATTCTATTTGTATAGGTATTTTCCCTGCATGCATATATCTGTACTCGTTGTGCATGCCTGTTGCCATGGATCCCTTGAAACAAGTTACTGGTGTGAACTGCCACGTGGGCACTAGGAATTGAACCAGGGTCCTCTAGAGGAGTAGCCAGTGCTCTTGACCCCCGAGCCATTTCTCCAGCCCCAAACTAGAACATTTATATTCTCTTGTTTATAGTATTTAATATTTTGAATGATGTTTTGTGTTTGTATTATTGTATTAATTTATATTTTTCAAAACTGTCACAGCATAGTGATGTTTGTATTTTTATTGTGATAAAGTTCACATAACATAAATTCATTGTTTTCATCATTTTATACTTCTATTTGAATCTATTTCAACTTTATACTTACTTAACTGTCAGTCCTTGTTGCTATCTCCCTTCAGACTCAGACAGCCACTACTCTTTCTATCTCTGTGGATTCCCATGCTGCAGGCATTTCATTTAATGGAACCATACAGTACACAACCTATGATGTTAGCCTCAATAGTGAAACAGCATATGGTCTCTGTCCATCCATGTTGTCTGTCTCTCACTGTTTGCCCTGACTGAGATAAGAGGCATGGGCTGCCGCTCCGAGCTGCCTCATACGTAACTGCTTCTGTGAGCAGTAGATGAGTCCTGTTCCCATGGTACAGAGCCACTCACCAGTCTGTACACATTGGGCTGTTTCCACCTTTTTCTATAGCAAGTAATGCTGTTAGGAACACTTGTGTACCTGTTTTTGTTTTGCCTTTTGAGCTAGAGTTCCTCTGTGCATTCCCGGCAGTCCTGAAGCTCACTCTATAAACCAGGCTGGCACAGAGATTCTCCTGCCTGAGCCTGACCTTGTGTGTCCCTTTTGGCTTGGGCACTTGCTGTTCTTTTAGTTAGATGTACAGGAAGGAGTACAACGGCTTTCTGTATTAAAACTTCATGAGGGCCGGGCAGTGGTGCCGCACGCCTTTAATCCCAGCACTTGGGAGGCAGAGGCAGGTGGATTTCTGAGTTCGAGGCCACCCTGGTCTACAGAGTGAGTTCCAGGACAGCCAGGGCTACACAGAGAAACCCTGTCTCAGAAAACAAACAAACAAACAAACAAACAAACACTTGATGAGAAGTGGCCACACTGCTTCTCATAGCAACTGTTCCATGCTGAATCACATCACTGGTTTATAAGGACTCCATATTTTACATCCTCATCAACAAGGTTTTGATTATAGCCATCTGAGGAGGTAGGATGCATCGCTTCATTGTGGTATTAGTGGATGTTGTTTCTAGTCATTAATGACGTTAACCCCTTTTCATCAGCTTGTTGGCCCTTTGTATCTCTTCTTTGGAGTGATGTAGTATTTATTGCTTTGGATTTCTGTTTTCTTTTTGTTGTTGAGATGTAAGGAATTATGTGTCAGGACGCACATTCCTTATCAGATATGTGATTTGTAAATATTTTCTCCCATTTTACAATTTGTCTTTTCACATTTTTGATACAGTCTCTTGATATACAAAAGTTTTTGATTTTAATAAAATTCAATTTATGTAGTTTTTTCTTTCATTAAGTCTGCTTTTAGTTTCTATTAAAGGATCTATTTCTTTTAATTTTATCTGTATATACTGTTCCTTTAGCAGAAGGAAGAATGCAGTGGCTATAGCTTTCTTTTCATTATTTGTGATTTTCATATTAATTTTATGATATGGTTTGAATATTACTTTTAGGTCCATAATTTAGAAGACCGTTTGAAAAGATATGAAAAGAGTGTATGTGCAGCACCTGTGGGGACACCTTACAAAGGTGAGCTGACTTCTGCCATGCACCTGTGTGCACATACTTCTTATTGGCAGGCTTATGAATGGCTTTACTTTTTTCTTTGCTAATTCATATTCTTCTCTTATTTGTATTATGTATCCTTTTAGTAGTTGACAAGTACAGATTATATATACGTCCTGCACCATGATGCTCTTATGATACGTGTTCACTGTGTACGTCCTGCACCATGATGCTCGTATG